TCCCCCTTTAGCTAACCGTGAGATAATCCTCGGCATTGCCTTCCTACATAACGACGAATTTAACTGTGAAAAGGGGCTTAGCTGGCCGTCTGGGCGAATCGTGTCCAACGTGTCGATGATGATATTACAAATATTTGAATTCTGATTAGTGATTTTTTTTTAATTTTACTATTCTAGTGTATTAAATACTTAGGTTTTGTGATCCATTAATAAATAAAAAAAATAAATATAATATGAAATTAGAGAAGAAGAAAATACTGAGCCGTACCCACTTTTCAACAAAAATATGTTATTACTTTTTCCTTTGTTTTCCTTTGTTTCCTTATTCCTTATATTATTCAATTATAGTTTAATTCCATTTCAAAAATTCCACTGATTTTGATAGCACTTATATATTTTACCCCTCTACACTATCTTTTCTATGATATTTTCAAATATATTTGTTTTCTTTATTCTAATCAGCTTCAATTCAAAATATTTCTGTTATCAGAATGAGTTTACGCCAGAAGAATATAATAAAATCTTGAAAGGCTGAACTCTCAGCTTTTGGCTCAATGGCATCCACTTGGCCAGAGAACAAAGAATTTTGTAATAGAATAATGTGTAATAGTATGATCTGCTGCAAAAATTTGGTTAACTCAACTCAAGGGTTTTTGATGCTTTTATGCTAAAACTGGTGAAAATTCATTTTTCCAGCTGGAAATCAAAAATCTTGCGTAAATTGTGCACACAAAAACAAGCTCGACCCTGAGTCGGAGGCGAGGCAGGGAGCAAAGGAGGGATTGGGCATAGGCATGGGCACTGGCTCCGGCAGGCCCTTGAGCCAAAGTTAAGTAAATATGACTCAAGGACACTTGGCGCATGGAATCCTTTGGCCACTTACTTTTGTGCACGCAGCGGCTGCGGAGTGGGCGGACGGCACTCTGTCTCATTCAGTTCCATTTGAGAAACGATTTTAATACTTTCTCCGACACAAAAGCTACTTAAAGTTTTGCTTGCTGGCTTAATTCGTTTTTTGTCAAACAACAACAAACAACAAACAGCAAACAGACAATAAAGTAAACGAAAAAAAATTAAAAGCAGAAAAAATGCGAAAACTTTTTTAAATTGAGTTAAGTTAATTTTTTGTTGCTTTCTCTTGCTCTATCTTTAAGGTTCTTTATTTTTGCGAAGCAAGTTGGTTGTGGCGGGGTGCGGGCGCTTTGGTTTGCCTAATAAATGTGCGTTCCAACAAAAGGCCAGATAAACAGCTGGCCAGTGAGAAACACTGAGAGAAAGGGGAATAGAGAGAGAGAGAGAGACAGAGAAAGAGAAAGAAAGAGAGACTGACAGTTGTAGCGACAGCCAAAGGATAAAGGATAATGACAGCCATTAGTATTAAGTGCGCGTTGGCTACTTTGGGCGCTCGGCAGTTTTTTCCCGCCGCTCATTAAAGTTGTTAAGTACTTGGCGTAAACGCTGCCAGACTGAGAAAGAGATACAAATAGAGCGACTGCCATTGAATGCGATTAATGGTCAGGGCGGCGGGGCTCTACCCACGATTAAAGTCAATTTAAATGCGCCCAAAGCTCGCTGACTTAATTCGTTAACAAAAGAACAAAAAAAACCTGACCGGAAAACTTTGTGGCTGGCATTTCTTGAATTATGTCAACAGAAACAAAAAAAGCCACAGATTGCACCACAGCACCACAAAAAAGTGGGTTAATAGAGAAGTGAACTGAGCGGAGAGTGAACTAGAGATCCCATAATAGTCGATAAGCTCTGCGCTAATGTAGAACACGTAAAAAACACATAATTAATTGATTCAAGTAATTAATTGATTAAAAAAATATAAAAGAATTAATATAAATAGAAACATGAAAATAATTATATTGAAAAGTACAAAATACAAAAGAAAGAAGAAAACATTGATGATAGTATATTTAAGTAATATAAATTTTATGTACATTTTTACCACCTGCAAATTACTAAAAATAGCTACAGATCAGGTGATTTTGGTTTTCTCACTTCAAACTAAGACACAGCTGTGACTCCTATTTTAGTTTCTTTTCTGAGAAGAGCTAGACCACAGCTTCTATTGCACACGGTATTGTTGTTGTGGTATATTACAAAAGCATTTTTAACAAAAAAACACAACAATAAACCTATGACATACGGCAAATAGACGTGGGGCGGGAGGAAGGTGGCGTACTCAACGTTGCCGTGGAAAATGTACGTCTGGCAAAAGCTGTCGTCAGAAAATTCGGTTGCAGTTTTCTTTCCCATTTCTTATGCTTTATACTTGGGCTCTTTGTTCTTGATGTTGCACCCTTCCTCTTTTATGGTGTGCGACAAAACGCCACATTTGCGTTCAATGAGCATGAGATAATGTCATCATCAACGTCGTCATCAACACAACCCCACTCCACCCCACCAGTTCCCTACCCAACACACAACAGAGTGCATCATCCTGTCGTCCAAGTCTTTGTCTGTGTCTGATGCTGGGCAGGTGCAACGCTTTCGTTGTCTGGCATTTTGCTTGAGAAATTGCATTCAATTTAATGAGCACTACGTTTTTAATTAAGTCGTTCTGTGTGCAAATTCTACATAAATGGATGGGAACAGATAAATAGATGCATAGCTATGAGCTATAAGCAGCATAATTAATGCATAGATAATTATGATGATAACCCTTGTTGGCCTTGTGGCGCTATAAATATGAAAAAAGAAGCCAAACAGTAATTGATATTGCTTTGTTAACATTCTGTGAAACATCAGGCCACAGCAAAAAGGAACTACAAAGCAGTACAAATATTCTTATTTATGTCTCTTTTCACTTCATTGCGTCTGAACAAAGGTATTTCATTTTTAATTTTCAGTAAAGTTTGATAAGTTATCCCAAACGTCAAATAAGTTTAATCTCTGTCTGATAAGTATAGCAAATTTAATAACTTCCGCTGACAGAATACTATCTTAATTTCAGTATAACTTAACAATTCTATATCTAAGATAATTTCGCTTTTCGGCTTTCTGAGTTAAAGTATTCCACAAATTCCTAAGATACCAAAATTGGAAATTGTTTATAATTAATAAGAGAGTACCTGCCTGTTACATACGTATTTTCAAGGGGTTGATGGTATAAAAATATACATCATTGCAACCTTCATACCAAATATAACGTATTCAATAATATAACGTATTCTTCAAAACTCCGGGATCGTTCAGGAAGTTGTGCAGATATCTTGTCAGATTGGTCTATACACGGCGCAATATTTGATTTTCCTTCAAATGCCATAAATTTGATGCCGCTAAACAGATTTTCTGCCCAGTCAGCTCGCAATAAGCCCAAAATGCAATGACCAACCTCAACTTGTTGATGACGTCAATGCGGAGCGCTATTAGTAGTGCCTCTCTACGAATTGAATTGAGGCATGGCCAAAACGAATAGCCAGCTGGCCAACCGCACTATCAGTGCAGCGCCTGCCCCTCCCACTCACCCCCCTCTACCTTGCAACCCGCAAACGTTGCGAGACCCACCAAGCGAACTCGACGTCATATCGGCACCATGTAATAATTTCACACGCCCTATCGCGGTCATTTTAATTAGCACGATTGCATTTTCGGCACGTAGACGCAATTCGAATTGTAAATCAAATAGGCCGTTAAACATGTGCATTCGCATTCACAATAACAGCACTAGAAACGATATACTATATATATATGTCCATAATGCCAGTCGTACGATACGACGACACGCATAAGCCAGCTGCCGTACGACTGGGCTACTGGAGCCCGCTTCAGTTTGAGCCACAACATTTTGCAGTAAATTATTATCGCTAATTAGGGCGACAAGGCCGCATCACCGACGCCACTTGGCCACTCGTTTGAGGCGGGCATCTGACGGCGATTCACCAAGTGAGATGAGTTATTTATGTGGAGCCGTTCGTTTGGGCTCAGCAATTAACACGTCGACAGCGTTTGGCATAAATCTAACAAGTTGGGCATGAACAAAAAAAAGTTTGTTAAACACGCTAGAACATTGATTTTCCCATATTGAAAGCAACTAGCAGATACCCTTTCAACGAACAAGACAGTCTTACAGTTTTATAAATAAGTTATATCCCGATCGGAAGAAACTTTACTTTAGCTCATACTATCTTTGATTCCAATTTTCCATCCTCCAACTATTCAACGACTAAGCTCTTTATCTTCCGGTTTCTTTCAAGAACACATGAACATATAATAATTAAAGCAATTTATACATTATTCCAAACAAAAAATAATATTTTCCATTCAACAGCGACAGACTATAAAACGTGTCTCAAATTTTACTCAGTTTTCACTAATTTTTCACAGTTACGTTCAGCTACGGTACGTATGTATAAGCATGTCTGAAATGAATTTTTATAAAAATCTTAGTGTTATTTTGATCACGATACGTTGCTTACCGTTTTTCACTCATTTTCCACAGTTGCGGGGGAAATTTTCCAAAAACTTGTTTTCACGAACACTTATTCAACCTACAAGTACAGTACAGTAAAAATATTGATTATCTGTGCGCTGATCGGCAATCAGTCAGCCAATCAGATAGGACAATTAGTTATATATATATATATAGATAGATAGATTATGGATCGAAAATAATAAAATTTAATAAAATTAATAAAATAGATATTTTCTGTATTGCATATTGCTGCTAACCATGTCCGTATCAAATATACCCTTACGAGCGGTAACACCTTTTCTAGGCCTATGCAATTGATCATTTTTAGCCATAACAATTGTCGGCTTGCGAGCAAACAGAGCTCAATGCTTGTTTATTTATGGTTGGCATTAGCTGTGGCCCTGCTTATAAGTATTTGAATCGTGCGCTCGGCACTCTCATATTTATTATTCCATCGCCCTCTGTTGCTCTCGCTCTCGCTCTACCGCACTATATTTACATTGCGTATACGCCGCGTTGAACAAAAAGCAGTGAGCAGCTTCCGACTAGGCCACAGTCGCCGCTCGTAAGTCGCGTTGGTAGCGCGATAGGCAACATGTCTTAACTAAAACTGTGCTACAAAATGCGTGTGTGCCTGGTTTATATGATAATGGGATGTGGACTCCATTTCGCGTTCAGTCTTGATGCCATTTGCCGAATTGTGCAGCGCAATCGGGCGGAGTGTGAGGAGCATCGTGTGCAAACCGTGGATGGGTATCAGCTGACCGTACAACGTATTCCGCCGCCGCGCAACCAGAGCTGCCCCACACTACAGCCATTCGTGCTGATGCATGGTCTAATCGGTTCGGCGGCCGATTTTGTGGCTGCGGGTCGCGCAAGCGCCTTAGCGTTCCAGCTGCATGCACGCTGCTTCGATGTCTGGCTGCCCAATGCACGGGGCACCACAGAATCGCGGAGACATCGCACATTGTCGGCCAGGCAGCCGGCCTTTTGGGATTTCAGCTGGCATGAGATTGGCGTCTACGATTTGCCCGCCATTGTGGAGCATGTGCTGGCCGTGACGGGTCAGCGACAGCTGCACTATGTGGGCCACTCGCAGGGCACCACAGTGCTGCTCGTGCTACTGGCACAACGGCCCGACTTTAATGCGTGGTTTTCGAGCGTTGCGCTGCTGGCGCCAATTGCGTATTTGCAGCACTTGAGCAGTCTGCCGTTGCGTTTGCTGGCCAGCGATCCGGCTGGCGTCACGGTGCGTATACTTAATGTTGCGTATACCACACGTTGTGCGTGGCTAATGTATTGTTATTGTGCTTGTGTTGTTACAGCTGCTGCTGAATCAGCTAGGCCTGCACGAGCTGCTGCCCGCCACGCCGTTGAGCCAGGTGGGCGGGCAGCTCTTCTGCAGCCCAGCGCTGCCCACCTATGCGCTCTGCACGCTCCTCACATCGCTCTATGTGGGCTTCAGCGAATATCCGCTGGATCGTGTGAGTACGATTATATATGCAGTCATAATTTAGCCAACAAAGCGGCCCCAAAGTTTTGTTGTATGCAAAAGTTTTTATTGCACTCAGGAGTGCGCCGCACCCACCCACCCCCGCCCCTTTCTCTGACTCTCGCACACACAACTAACAGACACACACCCACACACAGAAAAACACATTCAAGAGCCGGCTTTAGTTTTGGTAATAAAAGTTATTTGAATTTAAATGCGTAAACGAGCTGCCTGCCCAGTTTCCTGCCAGTTGTGCCAACTATTGTGGCACGTTTATTTTCACAGTCTTCGCCAAAAGTCTATTAGCTTTCTTAAAAAGGCTGTAACAGCTAGATTATAGACCATTAAATTCAGATTAGACAAGAGGGAAGCCTATTTTCACGAATAATAAAATTAGCAAAATGTACTTCTTTTTTTTTAATTACAGAAATGCTTTAGGTATTTATTTTTCTTAGGCTTCCACATCTAGAGTTTATCATTTTTTTATCCAATTTTTATTGGTGTCTAGCATAAAACATCATCTGGTCAATCCAGAAATATCATTAGCAAATGTTCTTTTGCGACTTGTTCTATGAATGTATATGCATATTTACTGCTTCGATACCTTAATTGATATCTGCGATACCTTGTTCTGCCATGTTTGTTTATTCCTTTGCTTTATTATGGATTTTCAATTTAATTATTTTAATATATATTTGAAATAATGAAATTTTGTCTCAAATCAACTGGAAAGGTGACAGGATTATAGATGACTTATACCATCTATAAGTGTATTGAATATTCGATGATCGCTGCACGTTCATACATCTCTGGATTTTTTGCTGTAATGTGCACCAAAAGGTGCGCTAAACTTTTGCCTCTGCCAGCCGTTGGGGCCCGGCAACTGCCTGGCCGCGACCGACGGGCTCGTGCCGGCCGCCCGCGCTCTCCAGCTGCTAACTATACAACACACATTACGTATACGCCACGTTGCCTTAAACACTTTTTGTTTTCGCACACGGCACATTTAAATTTTGTTTTGCCATGAAATATGGCAAATAAATCGCGCTCGTGTTATTTTTGCCAAACTTTATGGCTTATCTGTACGGCGTTCGGGGCGCGTGCTCAAAAGGCTAAGCCCTGTTGTGGAGTGGCCCAAAGAGGTTGGCGCCAAGTGCCTGTTAGTTATTAGGGTAAGGGCACTGCCAATTGGCTTTGGCCGGGTTGCCTACAAAAACAAAACACACAAAATATCCAAAAAATATGTGTGTGTGTGTATGTGTGTGTGTGTGTGTGGCAGAAGCTGTAGCACTTTTATAGCTGCCCCGCAAAAAATGTGCAAAAGTTTGACAGGCAATAGATAGTTTCGGAATCTCTTCTGTAGTACAGTACTAAAACTTTGGTTTATACTTCAACTTGTTTTGATAACAGAAGTGTAAAACTGAAGCATATTCAATAGAGACAGGTGAGCAAAATAAATTGTTTTACGCTTCGGCAAAATATGAGTTGTTGTAAGTAAGGTTTTTAAGAATGATCAATTAAAAATATTTATAAACCTCATCATTTGGCAATTTTAGGAAAACTCAGATATTGAAAGCAGGATAAATGTTTTTATATTGAATATATTTAAGCGAAGAATTTGCTTGTGGATTATATTTTATATAAAATCTTGAGATACATATATAAATTATTCTTGTAAATTTTTTATTCAAAATAATAAATATCTAAATTATTTTAAAGAAAGTCTACCCTTAGATCAACCTGTTAAACGTACTTTCACCTATTTCATTTCTCTTAAGATAATGCGAATACATATTTATCCTTCAAGAATTCCACATACAAGCCAAGAGCAAGCGATACACGCTAAAAATTTCTTTTGAGTCAATCCAGCAATAAAAAAGTTCGAATATCTCACATTTCAAATTTCAAGTCAAATCAACAAAGCTCGTGCCACAGGCAGCTAGAAGCTAAGTGCAACCGCGTGCTGTATCTCTGAAATCGTCATTGCTCCTATAAAAAAGTCAACAAACAAGCGGGCAAATAGTCGACGAGCATGGAGCAGAGTCTCAGACGCTGAACAGGCACCAAAATTGCTAAGCAAATAGCGCAAGGCGATGACTTCCCTCCGTCAGGCTTGGTGGTGGCCAGGCCAAGGCAGGGGCAAGATATGCTGTGACAACTGCCAAACACGCCGCACAATATACAGCTGGCTGCCCCTCGCTGCCCCAATCGCAACATACTCAATCCCACTCATGCCCCCTACTCGTTGCCTACTCGTTTTACTCGCTGCCCGCGCAAATAAATATTTGTGCATATTTAGCTGAGAGCACGACGCTCTGACTTAACACCCCCCCCCCCCCCCCCCTCGCACTCCTCCTGCCTTTACGCCACATAAAGTTCAGCACACTTTGCAACTGCAATGCGTGAAGCATGATTTGATGCAACAACAAAAAAACAATAACAAAAAACAAAAAAAAGAAACAAACTGAGAAGAACTCTGGAAACACAAACAAGCTGCCGGCTGTGCAGGCGACACACAAAACTATTTGCCACAAGTTGCAGCGGGCCAGAGGCAAGTGGCAGCAATTGAAAAGAAGCCAGAATAGAAAGAAGTAGAAAAAATGCATTGGGCAGCCGGAAAATCAAATAAGCATCAAAACAAAACAAAATATGTTGCCGCAGGACGTGAGACTCAACCGACTGAGGAACTGTCAAAATATATCAAAAAGAGAAAAAAAAACATTTAAATTTATAGATTATATCTAAAGATGTTTCCCGTATACAAATTTATGTTTTTTTTGGCAACTAATACCTAAGCAATACTTTGCGTTCAATTGACATTTTGTATATTGTGACACTAATTTTGAAGCAATAATTTAAATTGCCAACATCCAAAGAATACAGCAGTTCGTTGTAGTATAATTTGTTGAATCTCATTTTATACACAACTTGATCTAGATGGGTTATTAAGAGCCCAGTTTAAACAAAAAATTCTTTTGCCAAGTCCTTGATCCTTGATTTATATTTCTAGAGTCTAGTTTATAGCCTATTAAATATATATTTAATCTTTTTTTTTATAATTCCGTTAAATTGTAATTCTGTTAAATTTCCGAAAAAATGTTCAGCTTTGTGGATATTATGGTTTGGGCTGTGTGTTGATCATCAATCTGTCAGACAGTCATGACAAACAGTTTTACATAAAGAGATATCAGGAAGCAGATATATAAATATTAGTTTTTGTTTCCCTAAGATCGCATTTCAGTTGTAGATATATTAAACTTTCTGACTTCTTGCATATATTATTTAATACATCTTCAATCTTCTAGAGCAGGTTATAATAATTTCAAATTCCAAAAGAAAAGTAAAAACACAAAGTCGTTAAGTCGATTCAGGCCAAGGAGCAGGTCAGTAGCAGGACCTCCATTCCTTTATGTCGTTGTGCCAGATCTTGTTTGTGTATTTGTGTAGCTGCATGCACTTCCGTGTGCTTTGTGTCACATTGAATCGGAAATAGCAGCTAGCACACACACACACAAGCACAATCACAGACACACACACACAAGCACAGACACTCCGAAGAGCTGACAGTTAAGTGGCAGTGGGGCAGGTCGTAAATTTGAATGCTTGGCTTTTTGGCTTTTGGCTTTTGTGCCTCATCAATTGAAAATTTCGCATTTTGCAGAGCATATTCCCACGCATTCTGGAGACGACACCGGCGGGCATCTCACGTGGTCAACTGCTGCACTTTGGGCAGCTCATCAACAGCGGTAAGACAATGACCATCCGCACCAGCTGCTGGGTTGCACTGTCAGCTACAGCCTTGCTCTGTCCATGCAGGTAAATTCCAACAGTACGACTATAGCTCGGCACGGCTCAACTCGCTGCGCTATGGCCAGGCCACACCACCCACCTATCAGCTGGAAAATGTGCGCCTCAACCTTATGCTCTTCTATGGTAACCGGGATGCATTGTCCAGCCGCCGGGATGTGCAGCATTTGGTGCGAGAGTTGCGCAACAGTCGGGTCAAGCTCTACCAGGTGCGAGGCTATAATCACATTGATTTCCTCTATGCAACCACAGCGCCGCAGATGATCTACGAACGCATCATACAACAGGCCAGGCAAATAAATTGACTATAGATGGTACAAATTAAAAATATATATGTAGATAGAAAGATACAAGATATATAGATAAAGATATATAGAGATATAGATTATATAAGGATCAGGGCTGCAGACTCGAGCAAGAATTTAAGCTCTTGAGAACCAACGCCCTGCATTTAGGTTCGGTTTGTGAGCCCAGTTTTCCCCAATCATGAGCCCAGGTTCAACCCTTGGGTTCTTATATATTTAATACATTCTTATTTTATTTTATTCTTATTTATATATTCCACTGCACAAGCTGAATTTCATATTTTTTCAAAATTGGCATTTACCAAGTTTGACTAGATAAATGCGATAGTTGAAACAGAATTTTTGGAACAACAAATTTACAAAAAAAATTGTTTAGTTCCGGATACAGTTTGATTTTTTTTGTGGGAACTGAGAACATGGAAACGATTAGAATTCCGAGCTCTCGTTGAGAGATATTAAAGTGATCAAAATTAAAACATTATATGAGTTTATTAAATTAATATATATATATAATATATATAAATATATATATATACATATATATTAATATTTTTAATGTTTAGAAAAATAATTCGTTGAAAATTAAAAGTCAAACGAAAAATTTTTGGGAAACTGAACAAATATGTTGGCTAAGCAACAATTACCTGCTATTATTGTTAGTTATTTCATTCGAAAAGCTACCTAAGGGGAGGTAGAATCCCATCTAAATGGAAGATATTCACGATAGTAAGGATTATTGTAAATATAGTATCTTTTAACTGGGTCTCACTTGGCTCATATAAGAGCGTTGTCAACTCTCAAATAATTGAACTTAAGGCTCTCAACTCATATTAGAGATACCAACGTTATCAGAGGAGTAAGTTGCCCTAAGTAATATTATTCGGATGATTTGTCAGTTGCTCTCTCAAGTAAGACTTTAAATTTGGCTTTACTAGGCCAAATTCACATATTATAAATTGTTATAATTATGACAATTTAAATGAAGGTTGTGTTCAAGAAGCAGATAAGAGCATTTGGTGAATTAATAGAGAATGGGTTTACTTTTGCTTAAAATGTTCATGTCCTTTCCAAGAAGTTGAATCGAATTTTAAATGAAGTAAATGAATTATTGTAATTTACGAATATAAATAATATAAAAATACAAAAATTTGAAAAATCTTTTAAATTATAAACATAAAACATTGGCGGCACTATCCTTGTTACTCTCAATAAAAAATATTTAATATTTTGAAATGCGCTCTTGATATAGACTAGATTGACTTATTTATTTTTTAATTTCACAGTTGATGGGGCTACAAACAAGTTCAAAACAAATAAATAGTTGGCTTCTGTGTGGGGGGAACATACCTGTTATTTTACTCTATTTTCCCATTTTCAAAATAAACAATTTATATGTGAAATACATTTCAAAGTAAATTCCTATTTATTTGTTATTGATGATCAATGAAAGGAAGCAAAATATTTTGTAATCAAGTATAAATTCAACTTGAAAATGGCGCTAAATCAAGCCAAGCACTGGACAGGAGCAGGACCTGTACCTCTGAATGCTTGTGCTGCAGCTCTTGTGTGCATCTGCGTGCACTTCCGCATGCTTTGTGTCGCAATGAAACGGAAATAGCAGCCTGGACACTCACACACACACAGACACACTCACTCAAAAACATACACACACAAATATAACCACATGAATGCCTGGCAAGCCGTGTGGCATGGGGCTGTCCGTAAATTTAAAGAGCTTGGCTTTAGGCTTCGGCTATTCGATTTCTAACATTTTCCGTAATTTTTCCACATGAAATGGGCTAAAACAAATCGTATTTTCGTTTTTTTGTTACATTTATATTGTGTAATACGAAAAAAACACAAATTAACTAAAAAGAAAACTTGGAAAACAGACCTCATAAGCTTCATACTTTACATTAGACAATTAATTATGTTTTTCATAATTAAATTTCTACGTGAACTGGAATAGTTGCTTGGCCAGCCATCGATTCCTGCAGCTGGGATGGGCGCTCGAATCGGTCTCTGTGTGGGTTCATTGCATTCGATATGTGTGTAGTAACTGGTATGCCGGGACACAGCTTAGCTAAGTTCAAAGCCTACACCGGACTGTATGGCATATATTAACTTTTCGCGCATCTGTTCAGCGTTCTTGAAAGGCGGCAGCTTCAACAGATTCGTGCACGTGCTGGCCGTAGGCAGACGCTCCATATCCCCAGCATTCTGTATAAAAAAGGGTGGATCCAAGTCCTGAAGTAGACAACAATTGAATGAGAAAAGAGTATTAGATTTATTTTAGAAATAACTCACCTTAAAACCAAGCAACGGTGGCCGCGAGCAGCTGGTGACAAACTTAAGCAGCTGCCGCCGTTGCAAATCATCGAAGCCCTCCACAGCCTCCCAGAATGCAACAATTGATGGATGCTCCGGCGTATACTCCCCACCATATTTGCAGTGCTTTTTTAGATCCTCCAGATCAATAGGTATTTCGGCGCCCGATATGAGTATTTGCAGCTCCTTGTTGCTGAACATATAAAGCCACTCGATGGGCAACACATTCGACAGTCCCTTGCGGAAGGCCTTACAGTGACGTTTTATCTGCACGTTGAGCTTAAAGTTGGCTATGAGCTGCAGATACTCGATGCGATTTGAGTTGGTAACCGGCGTGCTCTGACCCTGCGGTTTTAATTCTACCACTTGCGTCTGTCCCAGCGAACTGCTGGCTACTGTAAAATCCAAATTCAATTCACTAACATCGCCTGGATAATCCTTGAGGTAAAGCAGATTGCGATATAGCTCCGGATCCAGCGAAGCCAATTGATGTATATCCACGTCCGAATACTTTCCAGCGAGTTTAGTTAAAAAGAACTCAGCTAACGGCAGCTCCACCAGCAAATTCTCATAAATTGCTTTGCCCAAAATACGGCCAATGAAATAATAATGCTTCTCAAAGTCACTAAAGAGATCCGATACATTGGGATTAGGATACAATTTGTTGTCCGTCGTTACCCTAAAGGCGAAACATTCATTAATATTAAATTAAATGGATATTGGCTTCTCATAATCGTACATAAAGAAGCCACGGTTGGGATCAAAGGCAGTTTTAATCAGTTCGGATAGAAATTCGCGAAACACGCCTCCACCATCAATGCCTGCCTCGTCCAGTCCCAAATGAGACACAAACTGAATGCGAAACTTTAAGCGCAGGTCCGGTTCTGAAAAATAAAATTTATTAATAAACATTTAGCATTACAACATTTTGGATTCGAACCATTCTCTGGACGCAGCTTGTCGTAGGCATCTTCATATAGATGCGTGCGGCGCACAGTCACCATAATGGAGGGGCCCTGCAGAAAGGCCTGTAGATGACCCTGCACGCGCATCTTGTTAGCCGCAACCAGGCCCTGTAATATGCTTACACGTTTATTAAAAGCCACCACAAAAGGTATTTCGCGCAATATGGTAATGGATCGTTTTTGTTTGGTTGACATGGGCGGCCCGTTCTCAAAGTCCTCGCGCGTAAAGTCGCGTATGGGCTGAAATGGGCGAATGCCGCGCATGCGACTGCTGTGAGTCAATGGCAGATCTGTTGGCCTGTCCAGTGGCAAATCCAAGCGGGAAACAGTCCAATGCCCTTCCGGGCAGAAGCCCATACGCAAATCACGCGAATGTATCTGATTGAGCACAAATACAACGACATTTAACAAATTGGCCCAGATTTGTTTCTGATGACGCAGTGTCTTGTCATCCGCGTCGGTGTGACTCAGCACACTGCGAAAGGCGAGCTCTACCAGACCCAAGCTTATGTCCTTCAGCGTCTTGGACATTTGCACTATCTCCGCAATAGAAAACGGCATAAGCCGTACGTGATGCGGCGGGGCCGACTCCAATAGCTTTTTTTCGACAAACTCCACATCGTGCAGCGTGGGCAGCAGGCGGCCAAAGAGCATGCAAAAGGTGGCCAGCAAAGGTATAGTACGATCCACGCCCTGTTGCTTGGCTGTCAAAACCAATTGCATTAATTTTTAATTTAAGTTGTGAATACTTTGATTTTATACTTACGCACAACGCCCTTAGAAATAAGTGTGAGCGGTGCTGAGAAGCCCAGTTGCGTTGACTCGGCGGCCAACTTAAACCAAACGGCGCGTATAAATTTTGGCGTAAAGGCCAAAGTATATAGAAGTCTGAAAAATCAAGGCGAAATTAGGCACATAGCAAGAGGTAGCAATAAATAAAATCATACTTGTACTCATAGACCGCATGCTTATTGTATATCATCAGATTGTGACAGATCTCGCAGAGTGCGTAGATCACCTGGCTTTGCTCAATGTGCGGCTCAATTTGCTGCACAATAAAATCCACGCGCTGCGTTTCGTTTAATATGGCTATCGATTCCAGCAGACTGTTGCGCTCTTTGCTGCTCAGTTCGCCTGTGGGGCGGCAGGACTGTAACATGTCATAATCAATAGTGCGAGTCGTTGGCAGGTCCTGCCCCTCCTCGTCGGACTCATCCGTCTCGTCGTCATCGTCGGAGTCTGTGTGGCGATGTGGTGTCGCATGCGTGCGCAGCGTCGACTTGGGCAGCTGCAATATGTTGGGCATCATTTGGGCAACGACACGTACATAGACAATCAGTAAGTCGCTCTGCTGCAGTGAGGCTGTTGAGGGGTCATAAGATTATGTTGTTGCTTTGAAAGAAGATTATAGACACTCACCCAATTGCCTGCGATCCAGCACCAGCAGCGAGTTCAGCAAAAATGAGCTAAACAAGGTTTCACGCGGCTGCGATTTTAGCTGTTTGGCTTCATCGGGCTGTAGGACACCGTATAACAAAGTATTGGGCTTGCCATTATCTGTGATCGCTGGCTCAGAGCCGGACGTGGCCTGGCTTAAGTCGAGAAGCGCATGCAGCGCGTGCATGAGCAACGCAAAGGGAAAGTCTTCGCTCTCGGCCAGACAGGGCAACACAAAGTGACGCAGCGGCTCTGTGTGTGGCGTGGCCAAAATATCGATAATGAACCTGCGACAGAAGAGCTGTGATGACTCGTTTCCCGGTTGGCGCATGGCCACGCTCAACGGTCGCAGCAGCAGCTGCATCAGTGCATCGACGAATGGAGTAGGAGCATGCAGAGTTTCGCCGTCCAGCGGCGGGCACTTTTCATCTAACAGCAGACGCAAACGCACAAAGTAGTTTCGCGTAATGAGGAAGACAAAGACACGCTCCAGATACTTGTACAACACCGCCTCATCCTCCACATAGCGCTCCACTGATGCCACCGTGGTAAATGTCTCCAGCATGCGCAGCGGTATGGCCTGAGCGCTGTGCGGCAGCGCCAACTGCAACAGGCACGCATCCAAAATCTTGCACACGCGCAGCAGCCAAACGGAGTCATGGGCTGAATGCTGCAGCAGGCGTACCGGATTCCGCAAGATCGGCTGGCAAATTTCGATCTAAAAAAGAATTCAAATTAATAAAACTATGTAAGCGATTTGTTAGCTCTGACTCACCAGTCGCTCGCTGTCCTTGGCCACGCGATTGCTGTAGAAAAAGGTGAGGCGCCGCAGTAAAAAGCACATGCTCTCATCCTCGGTAACACGATCCCGGTGAGCGTGCAGATACGCATCAAAGGCCTCCCGTTCAGCCCGTTTGCGTCGCTGGCGATAAATAAAGGAGCGGGCATACGATTGCAACACAACGGCGCCGTGGGTCTTCTGGCGCAGCTCGTTGCGTTTCTGACGCTCCAGAGCCGCTTTGCGTATGGCCGTGTCCCTGTCGCAGGTCTGCGAGGCGCCCCCAAGACTTTGCACCGGTCGGCGCCGATACTCTCCATCAAACCCAAACATGACGCTGCAATTGTTGTCAGCAGTTCCGCTCGTACCGCTGCTGCTGCTGCTGCTGCTGTTGTTGTATTTTCCCCCAGCTGATCAATCGCTCACCCCCACTCAGCACATAATTTTTGTTTCTTAATTGGGATTCGTCTCTGCGCTGCTGCAATGCCAAAGTGCAACAGACGGCAGCAGTTCTTCTGGTTATGCTGCTTTAACTGCAACTTATAAGACACTTTTCACTTGTCTACGTTAAATTTTCTGGCTGCGTAAAAAAAAACTGCTAAAACGAATGATTTGTATATTTTCTCTGTGTTGGGCAAAAGCACTAATTAATGACAAAAGTGCCAGCTGTTCGTCGCTGTCCAGCACTATACAATTGTACAGTGTTAACAAACACCAAGGAAACAGTCGAATAACATTACGTACGTTATATTTGCCTGTTAATTACATTTTTTTAATGCTTGTTGCAAATGTTATTTCTATTTTTATTTGTATTTACTTTTGTATGATGAAAGATAACTCAAAAAAGGTTTACTTCCAATTGAATCTATTTAACAATTTACCCCCCTTAATAGTAAACGAAATCGTTATGGATATATAACATGTCTAAATAATATACATGTTTTTTTAATTAAATGTATTTCTAACGACTTTCAAATTTTTGTTTTTATATTTTGCTTTAACGTGCAAATATTGAATGCTTGCCAATTTTGTTATATATTATTCATACATATCGTTAGCATTTTGATGAATAAACATCACCTTATTCATTCCATTTCTATTCTATTTCTCAAAACAGATTTATACTTCCAACCGCCTGTTCCGCACCACTGTTTTAAATTTATATCTGCATTCGCATACTTATTTGCTTAGCTCCCGCCCCGCCAGATCAGCTGATAGAACCCGTAATACGTGAAACAGCTGAAAACTGCGACTGGTAAACACATCAAAAATAACACACATTTGGCGAGAAACAAAAAGTAAATAAAAATACCGTTCACTTTCGAGCTAGCGAAGCGTGTATACCCTTACTTTACTAATTAATCGATGTTTTCCTCACAGGAAACTAATATACATAAATGCAAGCCTGGCGAAATATCTACTATTTTTTTTAGCATTTACTCGTGTTAAGTTTAAATGTGAAGCATTTTTGACATAGGACTTTCGATCCGTTTTTTTCCTCAATGAATTGCAAAAAATGTGATGTCCCCAAAATAATTGCTGTCAAGAAACATATTATAAATAAAAGCCCATATCTCAAGAAAGTTTTGGGAAATAAGATAGTAGAGTATAAAAAAAATATATAAAAGTATTTCCGGTTAGATAATTTTTGTCGTTAAACGCTCATTTCTAAACAAATATCATTTTATTATGATATACAAACATATGTACATAAATATGTGAAACATGAGGGAGGTTTTAAAACTAAAGCTAACTAGTTAGTAGCTGCTGTTTTCCAATAAACAATTTTAAAGTGCAGCGTTCAGCATAGGCGGAGCACTGGATCCGTTCGCTAGGTGTGGATGGCGCAGCTGATGACGTTGCTCGATGAGCGCGAGCAGCGCTCGTGGCACATCCATTGTTTGATCATCGACTAGCACAATGTCGAACGTGTTCATATATTTATCCATGTTCGCCTCGACGTGATCGAAGAGAAAACCAATTTTCATAATGTGCGAGGAGGCGGGCACACCGGCAGCCATGTCCGCGTCGCCCAGGGAATCGCCCATGACAATGATGTGATCGCGTGTATGGACCAAATCATAATACTCGCTGCCATTTAGCACGGTTTCGTTCTTGTTGAATGTGTGTATCATCGGCTCCTGGAAGCCGGCCAACAGACCGTCGCGGTACTGCAAAAAGTTTGAGATAACTTTCACATTGGGATACATGATGTTCGCCTGTCGCAGCACCGACACCACCGAGTTGCCCAGGCCGGCGGAGAAGACCAGCACAGGTATTTGCAGGCGCAGCAGCGTCTCGAACAGCTCATGCGTTCGGTCACGTAGCGCATGCTTAAATTTGCTGGCCATCTGATCTATTTCGGACTGATCAAAGGGGAAGCCGCTGGTCAGCTCGCCCGATTTTGTCCACCACTCAATCATGTACTGAATCTTCTCCGCCTTGGGCATATGTGGATCGATCTCGATGGGCCGATATTTGTGGAAGAGCTTGTCAGTCTCCGTCTTGAAGACTGCTGGCAAGGATTTGCATTCATTAAAGATGCCAAAGCTCGAGAGCACCGGCAGCCCGTCGTCAGTGCGTTGCTTGGTAATGGTATAGTCGAAGTCGGAAACCAGTTGCATGCGCTCCGGACCGCCGCAGACAAACTCGTTGATGATGCGCTCCACGCGCTGCGGATCACGCATTTTGCAGTGCTCCTGATTCAGCGCTGGAATATCCTGGATGTGTACATAGCCCAAGCCATCCTCCTGAGACCGGCTCGAGTCAACTGCGTCCATTTTGCCTTTTTACTTTTTAGCGCTTGCACGGATTTTTGTTAGAGTTTTTCGTATGCTCGACGTGTGGTGCTCTTTGTGACTGGAATGGAAATATAAGAATAGTTTTTGTATTACAAAGCCCGATGCGCTTTCGTTAGCAAAGCTTACATACAATATCGCGCACACTTGCTCGTGCTCAATGTGACGCATACACCTACACACACCTATATATGCATACACATACATACACATAGGGATAGAGATGAGCGATATTGCGGTTCTTGAATGGTATTATTAATGACCTGAAACCTTTAAGGAACTAAATATATTAACAATTGTATTAACAAGTGATTTGTAATGACCGTTTTTCATTACAATTCTTTCTGTATGCTCACAAACAGCTGCCAATTTATTTTAACATTTAACTTTATGCACTTGGTATATATACTATAGAACAGCATTCATGCCAGGTTTAACAAATTAACACAAAATTAACTGAATCTATCTAATAATTGCTAATTAGCTCTTAGTGGACTTTATATAGATCACTTCTAACTGAAATTTGGCAGCATTCACCGACTCATCACTAGCATAAATATGTAGATACGTGTATTCTTGGCTGTGTCCAATGACTGACCTTGGTACGTTTTTGCCAATTTCTTGAAACTTGAAGCGTTTGTGCTTTGATGGCTTATCAGGATTTTATCGAAGCTTTTTCGATTTTGTACTTATATTTATTAAAAATAAACGCCGCACAGACGCGTATTTACTTTTTACTTTGCAATCGCTGCCCACACACAAGCGAACGCTATCAGACACGGAACACGCTCAACCAGCTGCGAACAGCTGTTCTGCTGGGCTGAAACGAAATGGCATTGGAACAACGCGCGAGCTAGCAAATAAAACGCAACAGTGGGAATTGGAATTGAGTTTTCTTGTTTTGTTTGTTTATTTTTGTGCTATCTCCTTCTCTCCTGCTCGCTAGTCTCTCGTTTATGTAGAAACAAAAAAAAACGATATATAATTAAGATTACTTCAATTCATAATTAAAGAAACTAAATAATAAATGGTAAATAATTAAATTAACAACTGAATTGTCTACATATCAAATATGAGTTGTGTCTATTTTAGCTGCTGCGCGGGTGTTTTTTGTATATATTTTTTTTTGTTTGTTTTTTCCTCTCACTTTGGTTAATCTTCGATTACAATGGGTGTTGCATTTGAATCCTTTTGATCCTCGTTGGCCGTTAGATTGGGATTGTCATAGGGTAAAAATTTCCAATCACCTGGTAAAGAACCCTTGAAATTCAACTGACGCGACAAATGTCTGTAATTAGAAAATGCAAAATGTTAGCTATATGCTCTGCCGAGTGCCCATAAGCTTGTCGAGAACTTACCGATTAAGGTAGGCGCTGGCGGCGGCACAGGTCTTGAACGAGAACACGCCCTCATCGGGCACCTTGACCATAACCTTGCCGTCCATCATCTTGACCCTGAAGCGCGGCAAAGCCTTGGCCACCAGAAAGCCATATCTCGTCTTGCTGGCATTCACCGTCGTGGGAAAGCGCTGCATTCTGTTTGTCTCCTGAATCTCGTTCGGAAGCGTCGATCCCGCCGTCACCAGCTTGCCAGGCAGCGACGCCATTACCGGCTCGACAGCGCTGGGAAGTTTAGCGGGCAACGATTTGCGCACCGTCGCCAATTGTGCCTTGGCCGCCAGCTTTGGCGGCGGACGTACCTGACGCACCGGCAGATTTCCAATGGATATGGTGGTACCCGCCTGCTTAAGAATGGAAGGATGTCCAATCGGAATAGCTGCTGGCTGCGTTGGCAACTCCAGCGTCTTGCGTTTGGCACCAATTTTGATGGGCTCAACAACAGCAGCAGCAGCTGCCGCGGATCCATCTTTGTTCTTCATCTTGGTGATGGTAACGCCAGTCGAGGATGTGCCAATTTTGATGTTGCCATTACCACTGCTCAGCAGTTGCTGTAGCGTATTGTTGATCTTCGTGGGCGGCGAGTCCTTGGAGGTGGCACCAACAGTTGTGGCTGTTGCTGGCGCCGCACAGCGCTGCACCGAGATGCGACTTATTTTTGGAGGCGGCGGTTGGGCATTTGCCTCACTGGCGGCCACAGCGGACGATGGCGCTGGTCCTGCGGTCTGGGTGAGCTGCACCTGTGGCGTGAGAAATTGTGTGGCCGGCGCTGTGCCGCCCGTAGCAGGCACATTTGCTATAAACGGCACAAAGCCGCTGGGCAGCGTTGACGTGTGTAGTTCCTTAACACCACCAGCTGACTGTGGACTAGCTGCTGTTATCTGCAGGCCGCCGCCATTGTTGGGCGTCGACTGTATGGTAAAGTTGATACGTTGTATGCTCTGCTCGTGCGTCTGCTGCTGCTGCTGCTTTGGCTGCTCATTGGCGAGCGGATCTTCCTTTGCAGCATCATCGTCATCATCGTTGATAACGATGACGCAATCGTCATCGTCATCTGTTTCCTGCTCCTGTTGTTGTATCTGTTCTGCAATAGGCGCCGAGCTGTTCAACTTCGTCGACGTGCTCGTGGCAGCCAAATCGATATCAAAGTGCACCTGCCCGTTAATCTGGAGCAGCCAAAAGGCCATAGTGCGCCTGTCGCGCTGGACCGGAATGTTATGATCCCGCTGGTAGACCTCGCGCAGCATCATCTTGCCATCGACACTTTGCAGCAGCACCAGCACCGGCGGCTGCATATCCAAGCGCAGCGGCCCAAAGTATATTTTACGCCTGGACGACGGCGTCACGAACGCATCGTAGGGCGCATCCTGGAAGAACTGCAGCTTGACTATCTTTTCGGTATCGTGTGCGACGCGCACAACATTGTGTATGCGGTCCAATGAGATCATGTCCTTAAAGGCAGGCACAAAGATGTGCGAGAAGTCATCGTAGAGATTCAACACCAGCCAGCGATGATCATGTGTGTACATCTCGGGCATTTGCAGCTCAGTCACGTCCGTTTGGACGACCTTGCGGAATTCAATGTTGCTGCAGATGTTAAGAGTGGGCTCCTTGCTTTCGGTGGCTGAGTTGAAAGTGACACGTGCAGCCGTAGCTGTGGCTGTGGGAGCGGGTGTAGATGTGACTGGAGCTAATACTGTGCTGGCTGTGGTTGTGGCGGCAGCTGGTGCCGGCAAAGCTGGCACCGCAGCTGGAGTTTCCGGCGTTGGTGGAGTCGCTGATGCGGGCGACGTCCCCTTAATGCTGAGTAAGCCTGTGCCCTCGCCAGGTTTGGCTGCAGCTGCTGCCCGCTGATGACGCTGCTGCTCCCTGATGCGCTGCTTTACCATCAACGTGCACAGGACATTTATCTTTTTGGTCAGTATGGGATGGGTTTGTGGCGTTGGCTTCGTGCACGCATTGCCCTCCATATAGCGCAGGAAGCCCTTGACCAGCCAATACTGTTGCCTGCCCTGCATGACCACCGCCAGCCGGCTTGTATTATCATTCCGCTTGCCCTCCAGCAGCATGCGCGCCATCAGCGGCAGGGCATTGCGATCGGGCGCAAAATGAGTGTTGACCACGGCAATGGCTCCGCAAACGGCTGGCATCATGTTCGTAATGGTCGCGGCCAGGAAACTGTAGTTCTTCATTTGCACATCCCAAATGAAGACATAGTTGGACTCGAAGGCGGCCAGAAAGTTGGTCCACTTAATGATGCACAATATCTCCTCGTTCGGAGCCGGAATTATTTTACTCTCACGCTGCAGCGCCAGATCGATGTCCTGCATTTTTTTGCTCACATGCGTGTTCATCTTCTTGATAACATCATTATAGGAGGTACGGAAGGAGACCGAGTCCACGCTGGGACTATCCTCGTTGACGGCGACAGCGGACGACTCGTTGCTGCCCATGGCGGCATCTATGGCCGCATTGGTGTTCAGCGAATAGCAGGCAGAAATTTTGGGCATTTGTATGTCCAGTTTGGGTGCGGGCTGTAACAACGGTTGGTACTGCTCTGCTGTCAACTGCTTTTTGCGTTTGGGTTGCTCCTCCAGGCCAGTGGACTCATTGGCGATGCGCTTGCGTGCCACATCACTGGTTGCCACTCGATTCGTTTCGCTTTCGTCGGAATCATCGCCCACCTCAATCACAGTCAACTCTGGCGCCAATATCTGCAGCTCTAGACGCCGCTGCTGATCCAGCTCGGAGCGATAGTAGCGCACGGCGCTAGTGACGCGCTTCTCGAGCAGCTCCTGCGTTTGCAACGTCTCGGCGCGTGCCACCTCCGAACGCATGCGCTTTGCCCGACGTCTATTCAGACGCAAATAACAATTGCGGGGCACGGATACTGCACGACGGCACAGACTGGGACGTGAACGATAGTAGCTAAAGATAATGTCCAGCTCGGCGGGACGCTGGGTTGGCGCCACCGCCGCACAGGCCTTGGGTGCGGGTGGTGGTGGTGGCGGCTGTACTGGCAAGGCAATCGGTGCCGCCGGCTTTGGAGGTATGATCTTGATCACCTGCGGCGGCTGCTTCTGCGACTGGAGCTGCTTTGGTAGCTGCGGCAGCAGCTTAAGTTGCTGCTGTTGCTGTTGCTGCGGTTGTGGTTTCTCCTTACGCCGTTTTTTGCTGGACTGCGGCTCCTCAGGTGGACGCTCAAAGCTGTAGTGGGCGCGAGTGGCCAGTTCGGGCACGTAGTGCGGTATAGGCGGCTCCGCTTGCTCTTTTTCAATCACAATTGGCTTGCCCTCGGTCGCCAAGCCGCCGCAGAAGCATTTGTACAGCTGATGGGTCATGCAGAAGGTGGCCAAATTGGCCACGTCCGGCAGACGACGCAGCGACACCTGGCAATGCTTGAGCTGCTCAAAGTCCGTGTCCTTGACGCTGCAGGGTTCGTTAAGCGACAGGTTGATGCTTTCGGTGCTGCCGCGTGCGCGTTTCAGGCTAACCTCACGCTTTGTGGCTTTGCTGGGACGCACCGGGTCCTCGTCATCCTCAATGGAGTCGTCAAAGTCCTCGTAGCGCTTGGGCGCCTTGGTGCAGCGCCGCTTCTTGTCGCA